TTTTATACAAGGAATCAGCAATGTGGAAGAGCCGAGAAGTTGTCCGCAATCACATCTTAGATACGCTGATCCTTCTTCAGAAGTAAGCAACAATAGAATCTATTTACTGCCTTCTTTTTTACCCCTTTCTGCCCTTTTTAACTTCAAAGACTTGTCCTCTGTTGTATAGACGGAAAGATTTGCAGTTTGAAACAGCTTGGAACAAATACAAGAACGACCCAGACTTAGCTATGCTCATTTCCTCATTCAATGAGCGACCCAATGAGACCTTCCAGGTGCAGGTTTAACCATTACAATTGTCTTAGTCACTGATGCATGTAACTGCTGAATATACAGAGTTCTTGAGGTGACTTTTGGATTATATTAGCTGAAGAAGGATGTACATAACCACCACAGACTGCTAATGCCTAATCTATGATCCTGGCTCATGAAAGTTGTATCCTGTATTTTTCGCGGGGTAGTCCGGATTCATTTCCTTGTATATTCTGGGTGTTTTTCTTATGAAAATTCAGTTTGAATGATGTACAGTTTGCATTTCTTTTGACAGGCATGGCAGGAGAATGCACGGAGGGTGACAACTGAAATATTTCCCTGTAATATTTTTATCTGCTGGAAGTGATGTTGCTAGGCTATTCTACCAAATATTATTTATTTGAAGTATTTATACGATTCATTGCTTCTCAACGGAGGAGTTAAGTTTCAATGTATAAATAAAATTTGATATTTTTCTATTATTACTTGATCAACTAATGGTCTCGGATCTTGTTCGGCACTATGTTGTTCGGCAAAGATTCTGGTATTCACAACGAAAAGATCGGTTGACCACAGTAAGCTAGGTTTGGCGAAAGCCAACGCAGCCTGCAGCAGCCGAGCTAAATAAATTGCTTTTGTTTCCTAATTCCTGTGTCTTGAAAGCTTCTTGTGCTTTGTCTATGGACATTTTGTCATTACAGAGGGAGAAAGTCTAAGAAGATAATTATATTTATGATATAATTTGTCAAATTTCTCCTCTTTTTTATCGTTTGGTCGTTTGCTGCCCTGGGAAGAAAACATTGTATACGCTTTGTTTTCACCAACCACCAGTACCATGTGTTTGAAGTAACCGAATAGGTTTATTTGTTAACTGTACTTGAATTATAACTTCTATTAACTTAAAATTAATTAAAGCTGTTATTTACTCCTCTATACTTTTAAAGGAAAATCTAAATAATTATTGTCCATGCTACTCCTCTATATTTAAAGAAAAATCCAAAGAAATACCGTTCATGCTACAGTAAATACTAAAAAAATTATAGTATGAACAGTAAATCAAATCTGGTCCACTCGAAGTTATCGTTATGCTACTGTAATATAAACCGTAAATCAATCCACTCCTCCATACTTGAATTTACTATTTATGCTGCAGTATTTTACTGTATCATAAACAGTAAGGCAAATCAAATGTATTAAAACTTGGATCGTTCTTTGAGTATAGAGGAGTAGATATGATTTCTAAATAAAATGTATTAAAACTTGGGTCATTCTTTAAACATAGAGGAGTAGATACGATTTTTAATTTTAAGCATACAATAACTAAATCCAATGTATTAAAACTTAGAATGAGACAAACTCAGAATGCATTGCTTTAAAAAAAAAATAGAGAACCTTGCTTTGTACAAGGCGCACAATAGTGTATGTATAAGTCTCAGACTCTCAAATCTAATCCAATCACCTACCAGCCCGATCATTTCCACTCACATAATCTCAATTTAGTTACGCCCATACGTCACATGCGTATCTCATTCTAAAATCAGATAACATTCATTATATATATATATATATATACGCCCACCAAAGTTCCAGCCAAAACCTTGCTCTGCTGTCATTATCCTACGCCATATCCTTATTCCTTACGCAGGGACGCTTTATCCCAGCATCCAAAGAACGACTTAAATAATCCTTTTAAAAGCCTCAACAGTTTTATCTCCAACACCTAAAAAATAATCCTAAAAGACTCTTTTAACCCCCTTCCCCCTCGCCGAGCAAAATTTTCCCTCCTCTGCCATGTCCTCTCTCTTTAGGGCTCGCCGCTCCGACGAGCCCAGATCCGGCGGTAAGTTGCTCCGCGGGAGGAGAGTAACACCTTCGGCCTCGCCCTACGCGAGGCCCGAGAGCTCGCCGGCGGCGGCCCAAATGGGAAGCCCTAAGTGGTTATCCGGCTTGATTTCAGGCGCTGGCAAGCTCATCTCCTCTGTTCTCCCCTCGTATCGTAGCTCGGAGTCTCCTCATTCGTCTTCTCCTGTTTATTCTTCTGACGACGATGAAGATCTTAGCTCCGGTGACTGTGAGTTCTCGATCCCAAATTTGAGTACTATTTGCTTGTTTTAGCTAGTAATTTGTTAAATAGAGTAAACTTTTGTTCTAATTGGGGATGCTGGTAGTAGGAGATTTGTGCGCGTTTACGAGCTGTTGATTGCCCTAAAATGAAGCAAATCCTGTTAGGTTAGTTAAAAGGTATCGTGATATTATTTATTATGGCTAAAGCACAATAAAAGTTCAAATGATAGTTATGACACTCGGTAAGTTTTTGACAGAATTAGGATTGACATTAAATGCACGTGGGAAGCTAAAATTTAAATTTCACATTTAAATTTTACAACTACGTTTGTTGTGTTCAGTTTATATCTTCTATTTTCTCCCTCTTATTCTTCATTTATTGTTTACAACAAACCCTGAAAGACCCAATTCGTATGAAGATGTGGATATTATGAGAGGGTTCTTATTGAACTTATTAGATGTGGAGGTCCTTGTAATTTACCCTATTATTACAGTAGAGATGAGACAATTCGTGCTTAATTACCTCTTTTTGGATTAATTAAGCAGGTGAGGGTGGTTCTCGGTGAGTTGTGGCTAAAATGCTTCATTTTAGATTATTATGGAGGATTATTGTTCTAGAAATGTTTGGAAGGGAAATTTTGGCAAAAGCAAGGCAGGAATAAGTTCCATTTAGATGATGTTTGCAGGAAATGAAAGATGGATTGGGAGTAATGATAGGAAGAGATTCACTCTATCAAAGTTGAAACTTACCAATTTCCATAAACTCATTCCTTTGGACAAGGGAGATTCAATTCATTCTAAAAGTGCAACCTAACTAACTCTTACTCCAATAAGTGACTGTTTCAGTCTCCAATTTGAATTAACTATTGTTGCCCTTATTTCACTGTCTACTTCCTACTGGGCATGGAAACTTAATAGCTGTTGGGCCATGGAATTTCAGTTCCCTTATACGAAGCCAGTCACTGTGGAATGCACAAATATGTTGAATTTTCCTTTTGAACGTGAAGTTTAACGAAATAGGAGTGGATAAAGTTTCGTCTAAGGCCTTCGTTGATCCAATTTAAAGAAGTGTATACTGTTTACTGCTCATCCAACTTGTTGAGTCTATTTAATACTGAGGGTCCCTGAGACTGACCTATGGGCTTCACTAATAACTGGGGAATGCGTTGAAACCTACACCGTTAACTTTGGTAAGGCACTCAACGATTGCTTATAGTCTTAGCTTAACAAAGAAATGTAGTGGGATTGTTTAGATTGTTACAGTCTCTAGCAAATAAGTGCTTCAATGAAAACACTTAGACGCATTTTTTTTTCTTTTCCCCCCTATGAAACATTATAAAGCTTGGTCTTATGAAGGCAGGAAAAAGTTTTATTTATATAATGTTTGCAGGGATGGATCGGGAATGGTGAATAGGGGGAGATTCACTCTATCAAAATTGTGACTTACCAATTTCCATGAACTCACTCCTTTAGACGAGATATTCAATTCACTCTATAAGTGCAACCTTATTCACTATCACCTAATAAGTGTCTATTCTAGCCTCCAAATTGCAATTAACTATCGTTGCCCAAAATTCACTGCCTACTTCCTATTGGGATGGAAACCTAGTAGTTGTTGGACCGCGGAATCTAAATTTGCAGTCAGAATAAATAAGAATCCAGTTATTATGGAATGTACAAATAAGTTGAATCTTACCTTGAACCTGAAGGTTAAATAAATAGGAGAAATAAAATTTTGTACAAGGCCTTTTGTTGTTATAAGTAGTGGCGCTAATAGCATTAGCGGTCCCTTTCCACTATGCTATCACCCAATAATGGTGACATATTACGGAATATACGATTTTCGCTTTCAAAAGCGACCAATAGCACGTCATAGTAGTGAATAGCTCACGATTGCGGGCAAAATTTGCTTTTGACCGCTATTCAAAAGCGGTTTGAGGTTTATATTTTAAAAATTAAACCCTACCCGCAACTACTACATCCCACTGCCTCCTGCCATTTCTGGCATATTCCTGTCGCTTCCCATAGCCTCCTACACATCTCTCAACACTTTCTCGTACCTCCTCTCGTCGTGAGCTGCTCTTACTGTAGTCCTCTCACTGCTGAGCTCCTCTTCTCGAAGACGACGACTCTTTGACTCCTTCTTCAGTCGTCTTCAGTATTATGTGACAGTTGTATGTCTATTTCATGTTTAAAATATCTTTAAATCATCAAATATGCATTTTTAGATTTTCTAAATTTTTCTTATTTTTTTGAATATTTATATATATCAAAATTAGACAGCTATTTGACTTGGAGTTTTTTTACTGTTATTTTACTGCAATAGTCCTAAATAGTCTCAGCAATGTCTCATTGTTGGACGACACTATCCGTTATGGATAACCTTGAGGCCTTTGTTGATCCTACTTAAAGAAGTGTATATTGTATACTGCTCGTCCAACATGTCGAGTCTCCTTAAAATTGAGAGTCCTAGAGACTGACGTATGGGCTTCACTAATAACTGGGAAATGCATTGAAACCTATATCACTAACTTTGGACAGACACTCAGCTACTACTCTTGGCTTACAAAAGAAATGTAGTGGGATTGTTTAGATTCTTACAGCCTCTAGCAAATAAGTACTTTAATGTAAACGCATAAAGCGTTTCATTTTTTTTTCTTTTTTGTTCATGCAACCTTATAAAGTTTGGTCTTGTCAAGACTGCATAGTATTCAACCAACAGATGATTGATTGGTTCTGGTAGTTCTGATATGTTGCCTACTTTCTTATCTGGTTCTTACAACCGATAAGATTTTTAGTTTACTTACAGTGCCTAATCAATGTGTAAGATTGACATTATCTCGATTTGAAGTTGTTTGTAACCCTTTATGTTGATGTCTTATTAAAACTTTAGCAATGTGATGCCTTTTTTTTGGGGAGAGGGGCATTGTTTAACTCCCAACAGATACACAAAAAGAAGGGAAAAAGATAGGAATAAAAGGGAAAAAGTTTTTTATACGCTTCTTTTGATATGTTAGACTCATTAAATTTTTGTTTCTTTACCCCATTGTCATGAGACATTATTTAGTTTTTTTCTTAATTCTTACTCAAAAAACTATTTGACCTTTGAACATAGAAAGGCTCATCTTATTATACATTGTTTTCAGGTTAAAAGATTTGCAAAGATTTGAGACAATAAAATAGTAGTTCTCTTTTATTAATCTCTTGCGAAAATAAATATTACAGTATCTTACTATCTTAGTTACAATTGTTCGATTCTGAAAAGTTGTGCCGAAAGAGACTAGGCGTCGACTCCGTTGACCGTATGAATAAAATAGCACCGTTCTTTATATAATAGAGTGAGATTGAATTGTTCAGTCTTGAGGAATGAAGCTTCTTGAAACAAAGAATGAACTTGTCATTGAGGTTTTGCCTCGTTGAACAAGTGAGAAGAATGCTAACAATGAGTAGAGATTGATTGTTATATGGCTATCCCGACGCAAGATCTAACGACCAGGTGTTAAGGTCTAAAAATGAATTGAATTTGCAAAGCAAATGTCTTCTCCACGGAGTTAGGACTCGGTGGGAGAGCAGTAGATGCACAATAAATACTTTGAATGAGCCCCCTTGAAAATTTAAAGAATGGTGATATTTATAGAGTTCTTGTAGAACTGAACGTGAAGTTCGTTCGTGCACAGTTTAGCCTCGTCCGTGCAATGACCATACTGCTCGTTGTTTACTCAATCACTTTCGCCGAATTTGCATTTAATGCCTTTTAGCTTGAAACTCTGCTTGGACCATCAACATCATAAGCGCAGTCCTTTCAGTCACATCACATTTAATACGACGTGGTCACCAAACTCTGTGTTGTGCGCAACATAAATTTCGACAGCACCTCTGATGCACAACAAGAGAGTAGATCTCAACTAAATTCCTGTTTCATAAAAGAAACAAGAACCAAAAGTGATATATCTCAACAAAGTGGGATACACTCTTCCTCTCATCAATTCTGGGACTGACTTGTCAAGAGAACCTAAACAAGCTATTATAAATCACAGCAAGATAATAAATTTTACGTGATTCGATAAGTTATCTACGTCCACGGGGTAAGGAGGGGGGAGATCTACTATTAGAGAGAGAATACAAATAGGATTTACAATCACACAAGGTCTCACAAATAAAACTCTCAATCAATCTCTCACAACTCTCACAAAAGGGATGCTGAAAACCTTCTCAAAGTCGGCGGCTTCACTGCTGTTTTTTCTTTTTCACGTCGCACTCTCTGCGATTTTCCCCTGCTTGCACCAAAAAACCTAGGAACCGAATAAAAGCTATATATATAGCTGCAAATCATTCGGGTGGGTCTGCAAAACCAGTGCGAGAAACAAAACGCGTTCATGTGCTCATGAACGCGGTAGCCCCCACGTTTAGTCTCACACGGAAATGAAAACCGCGTTCGTGGCTTGCTGCTGAACGTGGGTATGGCCCCCATGCTATGAAAACGCGTCTCCTGCTGACGTTCACAATTCTCCATCTCGGTGAAGTTTCTCCCAAAACTGAGCCGACACCAAAACATCCAAATGTCCCACTTGTTGTGTCCAGTACGCTGTGAAGTTAATTCACGACAACAGATTCAATCCACAACAAGTCGGGAACCCGAACGAGAGTCCAAACTATCTTACTCCCATCAAAATCAACTAATCCAACCCGACTGCATCTAAAGACTGTCTACGTATTCTCTTGCCCAAGGAATCAAGCCTCACGTAGTTCATCCAAATGGCCACGAACGACCTCAATCAACTAGAAGAGTTCGGAACCCTTCTCTAACATCACCAATAAATCTATGGCTGATAGCTCTTCTAATGGTCCCAAAGCGAAACAAACCAAACACCTCCTCCTGAGGTGAACCAACGATCATAACCAAATCTGAACTATGTCCACCAGCTGTACTCGAATCAACCAACTCATCATATGCATCCAAAACAACATGATTCTCAATCTGTGTCACATTAGTTGGAATCCCAAACG